ACTTAGTCTCCCCGTCTTTCAGCACGCTCTTCAATCCGCGGCGGCGCAGCGCGAGCGGACTCTCAAACAGAAACAGAGGACACAAGGTGTGCGTTTCTGTATCTGTGCGGTTCGTCAAATACGGTTTACAAAAGGTCACGAGGGAGCAATCGGTTTCCCCATCTACTGTAAGTTTGCTGCATTCACCCCTCATCACACCACAGCCGTTTCCTCCAGCGAAAATCTAGCCCTTAACACGTATGAACGCATACTTTATAAAACGAACATGTTGCCATTTTCATTTGAAAATTTAAAACATTATAGTGCATGTGGCATAGGCTACCATACAGTCATTCACAGAACTGATTAAAGGCAGTGACAGACAGCACTGTCAATTCACTCATTTTAACTAAATATCAGAGTGTTTGACAGATATAGTAGAAACATTGTGTAGTTTCGTATTAAATATTGTTTTGTATTAAATAATGACCCAGATCGTGAAATACACTTATTAGCCTTAGGGTAAGGGAAGCACAACTCAGGGAAATGAGAGCATATGAATGCTATATTTATTTTAAATATTTTTAATGTTCTTTAATGTTATCCATGTTTTTTTTTTAAATTTATTTATTTTTTTAAGTATTGGTTCAGGCACCGGTACAGTTTTAGAAGTATCGATTTGGCACCGGTATCGTAAAAAACCCAATTGATACCCAACCCTAATCTTCTCACACAGATGAAACATGAAGTGACAATATACCACAGTAAATGGATAAAACTTAAAAATCACATCTCGCACACTTTAATGCCCTTTGAATGGAACATACACGCCCTTCGAACTAAGTATTGGTTCAGGCACCGGTACAGTTTTAAAAGTATCGATTTGGCACCGGTATCGTAAAAAACCCAATTGATACCCAACCCTAATCTTCTCACACAGATGAAACATGAAGTGACAATATACCACAGTAAATGGATAAAACTTAAAAATCACATCTCGCACACTTTAATGCCCTTTGAATGGAACATACACGCCCTTCGAACTGGAATCATGGCGGAATATTCAGTGAAGGGCACTTCGTAGGGTACTTCCGGTCAAACAGAACAAACGTCTGAAGTGATAAGAGATGCATACAAAAGGTGCAGAGTGGTGGTACACGAGGACTGGAATTGAGATCCACTACCCTAGGCCCAATGCCAAGGCCTGCTTAAAGCATTAATAACGCAAAAGAACATACCAGTCATGGTCATGGGAAAATTGCAAGCTAGGGAGAAGTCACATAGTGTCCATTTGTTCATAGGCTCCCACAGTAGCACATCAATCCGAGCCCTCAAGGATGATACGTCCATCAGCTGAAAAGTAAAGCATTTAAATAACTGCACCGTCTACACACACAATTTTTTTTTTTTTTTTTAAATAAATACCTCAAATGCAACATCAGATGCAAGGAAAGGCACTGCCAAGCTCATATGAGTGTCATTCTCCTTTACACCATACTCTGCTCTCCGGTCTGGAGTCATGTCATGCATACCAATCATAATATTAGAGTTTTTGCCCATGTTTCCAAATGAAATTACGATGTGGAACTGTTCCTCATCACAGGTTCCACTCACAGTTGGGAGAACTGGATGGGGGAAATGATCCATTGACAATGACGATAAACCCTTGGGTATGGTTGTTGGGTCAAAGAAGGTCTTTGACATCCAAATTAACGGTGTCAGCACTTACTGACATCTTGAAGGGTTACATCAACAGAGGAAGTGTAGGAGAACGGAGTGTATTGTATATGTACAAAACCATAGATGAGGCCAAGAGTATAAACTCTAACAACCAGATCAACTTGCTGCAATGAAAAATACAGATCAGAAGCAGCAATAAAAAATAAAAAAAGTCTCCAAAACGACATTAGATACTCACAGTTCTAACAACAAAACTGTCAGAGAAGGGGACTTGAAGTCTAAATGCCTTGGAGCCATTTTGAAAGCGTTGTTCCTGTATGTTAATGCCCCTTGCATTGGCCTCTGCCACAGTAAGGACTCCAGTGGAAAAGGTAATGTTCACCAACTCAATGTCATAAAGGAAAGGACCCAAGAGTACATCAAACACCCTTTGGTCTACCTCAGTGACTACAAGGGAATAGAAGTCAAGTTGCAAGCCATTTAAAAAAGAAAAAAAAAACCTTGGACTGTCAAAGAACCCTCAACACTCACGGTCAACAAAGTGGGGTGGTCTAGGCATAAAAGGGGTCTTGATGGGGAAGAGGACTTTGTATCTAGTAGAATCCATGCCCCCGTCACTCCACAGTAACTCCAGCATTGGCTCAATATCATATGTGATGTGGTACTGGTTATTTACAACATGACTCTACAACAGAATAACCATTAGGTTTAGCACAAGACTAAAAGTTGTCAAATTAAAGCGAGAAACCAAACCTTGTAGTAGCCATCTGGTCCACCGATTGGCATTTTCATTACGATTAGATCATCCACTATGGTCAAAACATAGCCTCTAGCCGCCATTTGTAAAGAATCTATCCGCTTCCCATCTATTCCCATGAACATCTCAAGGAGATTGGTTTCACTAGAACTCATTAGTGGATTAAATCGGGGGAAGTTCCAGGTGATCATCTCATCCGTAAAAGAAAGCCCACCTGTAAGTGAAGCAATAGATCAAGGTTCTTCCATCGGGGTCTTGGAGCCCCACTTACCTGCAGTTTAGCAACACACCTGACTGATTTGAGTGAACCCAAAGAGCTTTTTAAAAAAGTTCATTCAAATACATTTAATTAGAACTAAACTCTGTATGGAAAAGTTGCTCTCCAGGACAAGGAATGAAGAACCCTGCAAATACTGGGTCAAATGCAATTGGAGTGGTGTCACGTACCAGTTGGACATGCAGCAACAGTATCTAACATGGTTACAGACCACTGTTTCTTGAAGTAGGTGGTCACCCTGATGATCTTCATTGGCACGCCATTCACCTGTTACAGCGGATACAACATTCGTTCAAGAAAACTTCTAAAGGAAGCACCACATTTTCCATACTCACATTTTCCACATAGGTCTCTGGCATGTCGTAACCGCTTCGTAGCACCAATCGAGACCTAGTTGTTGTTATGCTATATCCTGTCCTCAGGGCATCCTCCAACACCATAGCCTTTTGTTTAGGAGTGAAAAACACTATTCTCCAGATGTTGTATCTAGAGGTAATGGCCTGAAAGGCGGTGGACAGAGCTCATTTGATCAAGCTGCATGTACAGAGCACTCGACAAAAGACAAAAAAAAACAAACAAAAAAAAAACGAAACCACCGTACCTCAGTAACCGTATTGGCCCACTGGTCAAACTTTTTTGCTCGGGGCAGCTTAAGCTGCCTACGCAAAGCTGTAATTTCCTCTGGCAATCGGTTAACGGAAACCTAGGAGAAGCCATTGTTAGGACAAAAAAAAAAAAAAAAAAAAAAAAAAAAAAAAAAAAAAAAAAAAAAAAAAAAAAAAAAAAAAAAAAAAAAAAAAAAAAAAAAAAAAAAAAAAAAAAAAAAAAAAAAAAAAAAAAAAAAAAAAAAAAAAAAAAAAAAAAAAAAAACACCCACACACAACACTATTCCTTGATGTTCGGGTGGCATAAGGGAGCCTAGGTTTTACCTCCATGTAATTCCGAGCGCAAAGAACTTCACGGGGGGCCCATTGGCCATAGTTACAGGTCTTCTCCACCTCAAAGACATCTTGTTCCGCTTTGACACCACGCACCCGGACGCGCACGCCAACGTCAAACACAGTATCATCCTGAATGCAGAAAGAACTACTGAAGTGAAAAACAGCAGGATACGGCAACTGTTTAACGCCAAATAGAGCCAGTTACCTCATTCCCTGCAAAACAGTTGAGAAGAGATGCAAAGACTTTGTAGTTACCCCAGGGATCAGAGTCTATAGAAAAGCCACATTTAGCAGCTAGGCTTGGAGTTAAAGGTTCAATTTGGGAGCCATCTGAAAAAGAAAATGGCCAAGATTATGACACGAATGTGGATTACGATCATCTTTCTTGGCAACATAAATTGCAGGGAACTTACTGACAGCATCAAATTCAATTTGATTCCCAAAAGCTAGAGATTTATCTACGGTTAGCCTCATATAGCTTCCCAGACAATCAGTCTTCAGGCCTGTTCCTGAAAGACACAGAATTTAAACCAAACAGAGGAAATCATACATTTCTGGCAATGTGGCCTACTAAACCTAAACGAGTACACACATGCATACACAAAACATACGCTGGTTAAAATTCTGTGCTGGCACCACATTGAAACTCTTCCGTGTCGACAGGACATTGAAATTCTTCTGTGCCAAAACTATAACCATCAACAGCCAAAAAGTACTGAAAAAGAATTAAAACAAGCATTAAAAAAAACAACAACAAAATTTTTTTTAACACAGAACCTAACTTACCAAATCCCAAGAAGCCACGTCATCCTTGCTCAGAAACAAACCTCTCTGTTTTTGGGTGGTCAAGATCTATAGAAACCACCACAACTGAATTCCTTCTACTGCAAAAGCTCAAAATAATCTGCTTTTTGAAAGGAAATGTATAAATCATCTACCTCTTGTGCACAGGTGGTGCTAGTCATCAACTAAAGAGCAGGTGTCATGAGTTAACTATTATTTAGGAATTTCTCACACATTTCTGAGTGAAAGCTGAGCTCTGCCAATTATCATTACAATAAAAATGTAGTATTTCTAGGAATGGTATAACGTTTTGGTAACTAAAAAGGTTAAATACGTATTGGTACATTTTAAAAAGTTACTGCAGTGTACGTGATGAGTACTTTTCCCTTTGAGGGTATTTTTTAACTTGAGAATATAAACTATAATGTAATACAATTCCATTTAAATCTACAAAATAGTACAAAAGCTAAAATATCATTTATGATTTTATGTTTGTTTTTGGAGTTAAATATGACCCATATAATATTCAACAAAATATATTTTAAAAGTTTACAAAGAGCATAAATACAGGCAAAATGCACATTTTAAAGAATGTTTATTTAAAAACAAACAAACATACATACATAATTATTGCACCACTTGTGATTGAGAAATCAACAATTAATCAGAGTATTCTGAAATGTACACTGTCAGGCATTTTTTGCATTCACTCATATCTTGATCACTGACCAAAAGGATTGGCCGTTTACTGACAAAGGACAACTAGCAGGTTAAAAAAAAAAATATCAGTCTACATATAGAAACAATTAAAGGTTTGAATGTTTTTTTAAACTCTGACTGCACAATCATCTCCATGACGATATTACTTATAGTTGAATCAACAGTTCAATCAACTCGAAATTCTCATCAGCAGCCTCTCTTCACCTTTTCTTCACTGTCCAGGAGTGTCTGACTCAAACTTTCTTTAGCATCTTTAAAATCAGGATTCAGCTCCAAGGCTCTTCGAAAGTCACTCTCAGCCTCCTTGAAAAAGCCTTAGGAGGAAAAAACACATTGAAATCAAACAGCACCCCTTTGTGGAATACAATAGATTGACAGAAGGCAATTAAAACAAAAGCTTTAAAGGGGTCATATGATGCGATTTCAATTTTTCCTTTCTCTTTGGAGTGTTACAAGCTCTTGGTGCATAAAGAAGATCTGTAAAGTTGCAAAGACTAAAGTCTCAAATCCAAAGAGATATTCTTTATAAAAGTTAAGAGTCAACCACGCCTACCTAAAACGGCTCGTTCTAACACACCCCCACATACCTACGTCACTATGTGGGAAGATTTGCATAACACCGCCCAAACAAATGCCTCGTTTGTAATGGGTTTTAATGTTTATGTCTCGTCGCTCCGGCTGGACATGGCATCAACAGTTGTGAGGGGCGTAACATTTCCGTCTCATGCTTGAGGTATTCGGCCAATCACAACGCACTGGATAGCTGGCCAATCACAGCACACCTCGCTTTTCAGACTGATGAGCTTTGTAAAAATCGAGGCGTTTCAGAAAGGCGGGGCATAGAGGAGAAACAATAATGTACAGTATGTGGAAAATAATGTGTTTTTTGAACCTTAAACTGCATAAACGCATTTCATTACACCAAATAATGTTCTTTTTAGCAACATTATTTGACCCCTTTAAGGTAGATGGATGGTCTAGGCTGGTTTAAGCTGGTCTCCCAGCCTAACCAGTGCCCAAAACCATCTCAGGTCGTCTTAAGAAGGGTTATGGGAATTTTTCACAAGCACTGAGGTGATGCATGAAGAAAACAGTTAAAATGTGTAATGGTTAAACTCTGTATCTACCCAATCTGTAACGTATCAATCCTCTGTTATACAGTGGCACTTCAAACTGGCTGTTGATCTGTATGGCAGAGGTATAGTCATCCATGGCTTCATAGAAATCCACCCTCAGATACTTGACCTGCCCTCGGTTATTATAGGCGATGGCCAAATCATGAGCACTGCAGTCTCTAGATAAACATAAAATGTGATTATTAGCGAAAACATGATCTTAATTTATTAACTAACTTCACTCAATGGCAAACGATCTTCTGTACTTAGTTTACATGCACTCTGTGCTAATGTTTACCAGTGTCCTCCTGACTCATTTATTCAAATAAACTTAGTCGTTAATACCTGGATTTGGTGCAAGACCCGATTAATTGTGTGTATAATTCCTCTGCTCGTTTATAATTCTTACTGTTGAACTCGTCATGTGCTTTTTGTAGGATCATGAGCTCGCTGTTCTCCATGAGACGCACTACTTTCGTCGCGATAAGAAAGCTCATGAATATTAATTAGTACGTACTGACGTTGTTTCACATTTTTTTCTGGAACGTCCAGTCACTGAACCTGTGCGAGCGTCCCCTTCTGAGCTGGAGTGTAATAATTAGCACTCAAAAGCTAAATAAAGTCACCGAGAACACTTTCAAAGTGCCACATTAAATAATGACGGTATGCTGTCAAGGTAAATGCCATGCAGCTAAATATATAAGATTCCCCAAAACATTTTGGTTAGGCTACTATTAGCCTATTTGATTTATTATCATAAATATACATTTAGTTGATGATTATATATCAAAATACATTTTCACTTGATGTATTTATTACAGTGTAAGCATGTGAAATAAGCAGTTGTTTGTATCGCACTCAGGTTTACCCCGTACAAAACAGTAGTCTTCTGTGCTAGAACCACACCTATCAGATGTTACCTTGGTAGGCTGATATACTGTATTCTATGCAGTGATTACCATATCAAAATAACATGGTTACAGAAAATTCACCGTAAACAGACTACATACTGCAATCACAAAAACAAACTTTGCACAGAAATTCACCTCTGGGTTTGTCAATATGCACTGTGTTTCAGCATAACATTTTTTATGATGGACATGCATAACCTTTTTAACTGTGGTGATTGGCTGGGGAATTTCTCATCTCAATGCTTACCTGTGAAGTTAGGATGTGAAAATATTTACCAGACCTGATTTTTGCCCAGTCTATGACAGAATAGATGGTTTCAGAGACAGGTGGAAGGTGTACACAGGCAATGCTTTGAAGAGAATACAGATCATTTATGACCACCACAGTGCGCCAGTCAAGGACAAGACAGCAGAAATATTTTATACTTCAAAAGAATTGTGAAAATCTCACATTTCAATCATAGAAGCTCGGCTAGGTTTTTAAGAGGTGAATGGTTTGAAATGTACCAATGGAGCCTGGTGCACCTTCACCCAGATTTCAGTGAACTTCGAGATCTCATATTCTGGCAGATGCATTTTTCAAATGATCTGAATGGTCTTTGCTTACCCTTATGACTCAAATATTGATGTTTGCTGTGAGAATTAACGTTACAATAAAGTCTAATGTGAGCCAAGCCTTGAACAGTCCTGATCTTTCCTCTCCCAAAAAAATCTCTTTCATTCTATCTCCTTGCAACCAGATGAATACTTTCTTTGTTTGTTTGAACAGGTGATCGAGAAATATCAGTTGATGTGATATTGAAAATGCTCCAATTCCAGGTTGTGAATCGATTTTAGATGGGATTTGGGATGAGAGGGATTCTGTCAGACTCTGTCTGTCTGAATTTGTGGGATGTTCAAATGTTTGTATAGCATATACGTGGGATTAAATGGATGAATATCCTGACCAGGGGAATCTCACAAAGCTTGCCAAGAGTGCAGTTCACCTGGCCAATGATTATATTTAGTCAACGGCTAGTCTGAAGATCTACAGATGGTCTGTAATGGTTGAGATATTGGTTTAGGCACATCTCACAGTGGCTGCAGACAGACAAGTTCTTCACATCTTACTCTTAAACCTATAGTCTGTCTAGCTGAACTACGTAAAGATGATTCCTATAGAGACGGCTGCACCATTTCAATACACTGTGAGCTATGAAATCAAAACAAATATTATAAACTGGACAGAGACTTTGAGACTGTTGATTAAAAGTATTTCAAGTTTTAATATAATGAATATTACTGCTTGATTATAAATATTGTAGACTGTCTATATCAAACTTTAACTGTATACATGAGAGTCTACATAAGATTAAACAATAATAATATGAACATTCCTTCTTTGACATGAACATAAGCAATAAAAAAATACAACTTTGATAATGACCCATAGTAAAATTGGTTACAATATGTTGTATAATTTAGTCTATTTAAATGAAAAGATAAATTTTGACCATTTCTGGGTAGCAAAAGAACATCATTAAACATAAATTCCAGCCCTTCATGCATGATTTAAAGGGTTAGTTCACCCCAAAATGAAAATTCTGCTGTTAATTACTCACCCTCATGTCGTTCCAAACCCGCAAGACCTTCGTTCATCTTCGGAACACGAATTAAGATATTTCTGATGAAATGTGAGAGCTCTCAGACCCTGCATAGACAACAACGCAACTGTAATGTTCCCAGGTCCAGAAACGTAGTAAGGACATCGGTAAAACAGTCCATGTGACATCAGTGGCTCAACTTCAGTTTTGCGAAGCTACGAGAGTACTTTTTGAGCGCAAAGAAAACAAAAATAACAATTTATTCAACGATTCTTCTCCCCCGAGTTACGTCTTCCGCAATTTTGGAGAGTACCCAAGAGCGTAATCGACGTAATCAGCGTGGTTTACGTTCGGAGGAGAAAACGCGCGCATGAACGTAATCAGCGTTGTTTACGCTTAGGGGAAAGCGTGCGTATGTGTTGTGATACTCTCTAAAATGGCGGAAGACGTAACTCGGGGGAGAATAATTGTTGAATAAATTGTTATTTTTGTTTTCTTTGCGCTCAAAAAAGTATTCTCGTAGCTTCGCAAAACTGAAGTTGAGCCACTGATGTCACATGGACTGTTTTACCGGTGTCCTGACTACGTTTCTGGACCTGGGAACATTACAGTTGCGTTGCTGTCTATGCAGGGTCCGAGAGCTCTCACATTTCATCAGAAATATCTTAATTCGTGTTCCGAAGATGAACGAAGATTTTACGGGTTTGGAACGACATGAGGGTGAGTAATTAATGACAGAATTTTCATTTTTGGGTGAACTATCCCTTTAAGCTCTTATCAATATTAATTAATATTTGAATATGGTTAATATTCTTTATTTTTTTGGATCTGTAAACATTTGTGAACATGTGGTTTAAGAAACATCATCTGAGCATCAGCCACTGTGATCCATTTTTGAAGCCATAAAGAGGTTCATGCGATCAATGTGGCCTTTGATGAAGCTTCAATGATGAAACAGAAGCCGTCTTGTTGTCTAGTGCTCCATATCCACTCCAGCAATCACTGAAAGTTCACAGAAAATGTTGACCCTGATGAACAGAACAGATGATGTACATTTTGAAATGTTCAATCATTAGAAATCATGTCAGAGAATCCATGCTTACCAAGAACTGCTCCGTTACACGCGTCCCAGCATGTTTTCCATTTGCTCAACCTTTCTTATGACAGCAGCAAGTATAATGACTGTTAAGGTTAAAGGGTTTGAATTACACTGTTTTCAGAAACAAGTCATTAAAGCTTTTCATAAAGAAATAAAATGCGTGCATTTTGTGTGAATTGTTCTTTTAAGAGAGATGACTTGCATTACATTCATCACGGGAAATGTTGCTCCACTAAATGCCCCAATGTACTTCAAGCATAATTGAAGAACGTTATTGATGTGTGAGGTTACTTCGAACAAAATCAGGAAAAACCGATGTTCGTTTCAGAACTTAGAAAGGATATGTTTGCCGTTGAGGTCCTGAAGGGAGGTTTGTGTCTGCCTCTGGAAAGCCAGTCGGGCCTCACACATGCAGGGGTCCTGAACGATCTCCACCTTCACCTCTTCACATCACAAACAACAAACATCACAGAAATACCTCGCAAAAGTTGATTTGAATTAGGGGTAATTATAGATCAAATGACCTACCCCACAAGCACAAAGTGAAAGTTTCTTAGCAAATATGTAACACTTTGCAACAAAGTTTATGCAATGTTGTACTTTTCTGAATTTCTCACAACATTGTGAGAGTGTTACATAATATGAGATATGAGTTTACATCGATGTTGAATCAGTGTTCAACTGACTCAACATGTCAGATATTACAAGACACTGACAGATGAAGCTTTCCCTAGTGAATCTAATTTATTTTAATGAATGATTTCTGAAACATCATGACTGAAATAATGGCTGCTGAAAATTCAGCGTTGCCATCACAGGAATAAATAGAAACAGGTCTTTCAAATTTTTTAAATCAAATAATTGCAGGCTTGGTGAGCATAAAAGACTTCTTTCGAACATTAGAAAAAACATTAAAATATATTTTAACATCATATATACAAGAAAACTCTTTTTGGTTCTTGAAAGTTAGGCATTGCTCAGCATATAATGTACCATCATGTGGACAATACTAATGTTCTAGTGGTGCTTGTTTGATTTTTTCCCCAATATTGGATGGCTGTTGGATTCAATATTTCCAATATTGATGTTTATTGGACAAACAATTTTTTTTAGGTATCATTTGTGCCCATAGCACATGAAGTGAATGGTTACAGAAAATACATGTTTGAATAGTTCCTCTCTGAGCTCTTACGTTTTTTGGAACATGATTTCTTGTCTTCTTGCAACAGAAAACCCCGGTGGCACTCACAGTGATAGGATGCATCATCGTTGACGCAAATTTGTTCACATTCATGACCCAGCGCACAGTAGTCCAGACCTGCAGTAAGTTAAAACTCTAGAGCCCTGAAGCTAACAAAGCTCAGCAGCATTTGACAGACAATACAACTAAATTAAATTATAGCTCTAATTATTCACCGTTTCTCCTTAAAAGAATATTAAACTTAGGACAAACATTTCTCAGCTAGCTACAGAAACCTATCATAAAATGGTATGATAGCAATACCATTTATGAAGGTCTAAAGCAGAAAACTCACTGGCACTACCTTCACCATCAGCGTCACTGGCTTTGAAACATGATTTCTTGTCCTGCATCAAGACAAAGCCTGGAGGACATGTGCAGTAATATGAAGAACTGCTGGAGACGCATGCGTGTTGGCAGTCGTGGCCCAACGCACAGGCATCCACACCTGAAATAAGCCATAGTGCCAAGCAAAAGATGGGACATTCAAATGGCCCAGTGGATTTCAGAATATCCACTGGGACATTTGAAAATTTCTCTAAAATAATATTAATGGCAATCTGATCACATGCTAGGTCTAAGCCTTTGATGGGATTTAATTTGATGTTTTTAGATCATAAAATGGTATGAATGAAGTCATAGTCATTTCTGATCGTAACTTACTAGCACT